ACCAGTCATTCTGGGGACTCTTCATTGTTTGCATTCTGAAGTCTATATTCTCAGTGGTTGACCTCCTGGCATCTTCCTTTGATTTTTCTTCATTTGTGTAGATCCCCCTCCCCCCCTTTTTTAACCTCTTCTCTAATTCTGTTGTTCAGGGATGAGGGAGTAGCTTTTACTCCTGTTTGGTCTTGCTCAATCTCTTCTTTCTCATGTGGATCCTCTGGCTTTGTTCAATTCTGAAGCTGGACTGTGGGTGGGGGGCTGTGCTCTATGTAGTTTTGAGATTTAATCAAGGGGGGAACTGTGATTCAGAGACTATCTGCAGATCCCATTATCATTTTTTTTTTTTTTTTTTGAGTTGGAGTCTCACTCTGTCGCCCAGACTGCAGTGCAGTGGCCGCTCCTGGCCACCGCAGCCTTGACCTGCTGGGCTCCGGCGATCCTTCCGCCTCAGCCTTCCAAGTAGCCAGAATTACAGGCATGCACTACCATGCCCGCCTGATTTTTTGATTTGTTGTAGAGATGAGATCTCACTGCCCAGGCAGGTCTTAGACCCACGGGCTCAGGCAATCCACTCACCTCAGCCTCCCAAGGTGCGGGATTACAGACTGAGCCACCGAGTCCAACTCCCAGTATGATTTGACGGTGTGTGGGCCCCCTGGAACCCACTTCCCACTGCCTTACAATCTGTCCATGCAATGAGGGTAAAGGTTTGCCCCTGAAAGCAAAATAAGGTAAGAACAAGGGAAATAATAAAAAAGGGAAGGAAGGGGCCGAGAGGAAGGGAGAGAGAGAGAAGAAGAAGGGGGAAAACAGACAGGCGTACCAACTAACAAATGAAAGAGACACAAAGACAGAAAAGATTTTTTTTTAAAATACAGACAATCATACAAACACACAAACTGACAACCCCCCCTCCCATTGATGTACTCTTCCTCAAAAATACCCATACACAGACAGGAAGTCTAAAAAAAAGCAATAAAATAACAGAAACAAAGGAAGTACAAGAATGTAATCAAAAACATTGAAGAGAAGAGGAAAAGAAAAAAAATAAGCAAACCCCCCCCCAAAAAAACAAAAAAGCCAAAACTCACCCTGACCCCATTCCTGTAACTTCAACTTCCTTTCTGCTCTGATCTCCAGCCACTCCCCTCTATTTCCAGCACAGACTGATAGGGTTGCTGTCTGCATGGGTTATATGCCCCAGGGACTACTGTGGGAGGAGGGCGAATCAGATCTAGACTCACCAGGCTTGCTGCTGCTGTTGCAAAGCCTCCCACTCAGATCTGACGTGTTTGTGCCTGTTCCAGCGTGGGGGAGGGTCTTTCTGAGTTTGATGAGATAATCTCTAGGACCCAGGTTGGAGGCTGTGTGGAGCTGGGTAGGGCAATGCAGGTCTCTGCCTGGTCCCAGGACAGAGAAAATAGCTCCATTCCGCATTTCCTCACTGGTAGGGGGGCTCCTCTCCAACTCTCCCCAACTTGCTCTCTCCACAATCCAGGGCTCCTGCCTCTCTACTGTCACATGTGATGGTGTGGTCCGGGGCCCCAGGTAGTGAGGATCAGCTGTATTCTGCAGCCTTTTCTCAGGAGAGCCGGGAGAACGGCAGACAATCCTGTGTACTGGCAGCTCCAATCTTAGGGCAGTGGGGGGTTGCAGTCACCTCCAGAGGAGAGCTCAGGGTGCATGAACTCGAGTCTCCCCTCCGACGGACTTTCACGCACCCACTGGCACACACTCACTCACACAGAGAGTCTTTTTTTTTTTTGAGTTGGCGTCTCACTCTGTCGCCCAGACTGGAGTGCAGTTGCCTCTCCCGGTCACTGCAACCTTGACCTGCTGGGCTCTGGCGATCCTTCCGCCTCAGCCTTCCGAGTAGCCGGAATTACAGGTGCGTGCTACCACGCCCAGCTAATTTTTTGATTTATTGTAGAGATGAGGTCTCGCCTGCCCAGGCGGGTCTCAAACCCGCGGGCTCAGGCAATCCACTCACCTCAGCCTCCCAAAGGCGCGGGATTACAGGCTGAGCCACCGAGCCCGGCTACACAGAGAGTCTTTATGGACACTTACTTTTGCAGAGACTCTGACAGTCCAACCTGTCCCATCAGCATCTTGCTGGAAAATCCTCTCAATGTTTAAGTTATGAAAATTTTAAAGTTTGAGAGTTCTGAAAGGCTTATGTGGACAAACAGCAGCCCTATTACTGGTCCTAGTCTCTACTTCCAAGAGACAAAAAGTTACAACTATTAACTACTACTTCTGACATGAGCTTTATGTTTCTAATAATATTCTAAAGTGATAGTTCTCCATTTTTTCATATTTCAAATTGTGTGTTTCACTTTTTATTATAGAAAATGAAAATTTAGCCGGGCTCGGTGGTTCAGCCTGTAATCCCGCGCCTTTGGGAGGCTGAGGTGAGTGGATTGCCTGAGCCCGCGGG